AACAAGAAAATTTTTTTCTATATTTAGAAAATACAGGTAAATATAATATTGTAAATAAAACAATTCTGTTAAATACCGTAACTCATCAGCTACAGTATTTAACAAAGTGTTTGTCGAGACATTTGCAACTAAATTTTTTTTTTTTAATTGCTTATTATCATTGTTTATTTTAACTGTAAAAAAAAAGTTTCAATTTGCAAAGTTTTTGAATTGGTTAATAATAGAAGCGTAACACTTTACGCGTTTTTATAAACCCACATGCAAAAATTTATATAAAATGTCAACATTTCTTATGGCATAGTAGTCTTTCAGCATGCAGTTAGCATTTAAAGTGCGATATCTTATACACTAACTGGCTTCTATATTATCTCCTTCTTTCTTTATCTTTTGAAATGGTATTCTTCGTTAATTATCTCCCTCCTTATTTATTAAAATAGCGATATGCAATACAGTGATACTTATAGAATACAGCGTTGCATGTCATTTTCGTAACATTTTTCACGTAGTGTTACGTAACAATTTAAAGCCTTGGTTACGTAAAAATAACGGATATTTTGCACGTAACGTAACGAATGCCGTTTACGTTACAATACGTAACGTAAATCTAAAATGTTAAAGGGGCAGTGTATATATATATATATATATATATATATATATATATATATATATATATATATATATATATATATATATATATATATATATATATATATATATATATATATAGTCGTACGCAGCAAAATAGTGGTGCGTATTTTATTTTCCTATTAACAAACTTTGAACATCAAAATATATTTTTCTATTGTTTGTTTTTCATCGTTATTATTCATAAACTAAATGTTGTGATTATAATAGTTAAAATTTCAATATTAGACTGTGCAATATAATAGTAATAAAAATTATTTTTTATGAAAAGGTCAAAAAATAATTAAACTTTATTACAAAAAAATTTTTTTTTTGAAGCTCTACATTAGTATTTTGTGGCATGACCTTTATTTGTAATAACCGCCAAGCATCTTCGTTGCATTTAGTTAACAAGATTTTGACATCGTTCGACAGATATATTTTGCCATGCTGACTGTACTACGTTCCACAATTGATTACAACCTCTTGAATTATTTTCAGAAACTTCTTGTTTAACATCAATCCACAAGTTTTCAATCGGATTGAGGTCGGGGGATTGTGCTGGCCACTCCATCACATCAATTTTGTTCTCATTAAACCACGGTTTAACTAACTTGCTCGCATGTTTGGGATCATTATCCTGCTGGAACAAAAATTTTAAAGGCATTTCTTCTTCAGCATAAAGCAGCATGATCTCTTCAAGTATTTTTACATATACAAACCGATTCATAATACCTATGCGATGTATAGACCCAAGACCATAGTAAGAAAAACAGCCTCATATCATTATTTTTGAACCTCCATGTTTGACGGTCTTTAATGTAAATTGTGACTTAAATGCTGCACCAGTTGGTCTAACTAACTTACTGTTTACGAACATGGGAACCAAAACTTTGCTTTCACCAGTCCACAAAATATTTCACCTTTTTTTCTTTAGGCCAAGAAGCATGCATACGTGCAAATTTTAAACGATTTTCGATCTGTTTTTTACTCAAAAGAGGCACTTTTCTAGGTGTTCTTCATTTAAATTGGCATGTGTTAATTATCTTCGAATAATTGAGGTATTAACATTTAATTCTAGCCTTTCTTTAATTTTTCTAGAAGCAATAATTGGCACCTTTTTCGCTAACAATACAATTCGACGATATTCTATAGCGGTAGTTGATCTTTTATTTCCACGTTTGTTGGTTTGGGTTTCCATTTTAATTAATTAATTAATTTTTCACTAGTATTTTATTGCACAGTCTAAAAAAAATACGAATAACCTTCAATCGATAATATTGAAATTTAAAACCATACAGTGCTGCAATTATCTTTCTTAATTTTTTATTATACAATTATAATCCCAACATTTAGTTTATGAACAATAACGATGAAAAACAAACAATAGAAACATATATTTTGATGTTCAAAGTTTGTTAAAAGAAAAATAATAAACGCACTACTATTTTACTGCACACGACTGTATATATATATATATATATATATATATATATATATATATATATATATATATATATATATATATATATATATATATATATATATATATATATATATATATATATATATATATATATATATATACATATGGAGTAGACCAGTCGCTTTTTTTTTTTTTTCAAAAATATTATAAGAACCTAAGTTCACTATCATATATGTTTATAAATATTTGCATTTATTATTGATAAATTATGTGCTACAAACCTCTTACAGGTGTTAAATATAATTACAGAGGCAGTAAACTATAATTTATGGCTCTGCTTATTTTGCTGGACTTTTCCAAAGTTTTTGACAGAGTAAGCCACGAAATACTAAACATAAAACTTAATGGTTATGAGTTTGATGTAAAATTAATCGCTTTCGACAACAATAAGTTGTCTTAGATGGGGCCTATTCTGGTTGGGCAAAGGTAATAAGTGTGGTACCCAATAGATTAGTTCTTGGTCCACTATTATTTTTGATATACATATATGATATACCAAAAATAGTGAAAAATTTTTGTAAGCTTTTTGAAGATGATAGCCAGCTTGTTGAATTGAATAAAAACAATTATGGATATCATATCATTTCAAAATGACCTTGATGTCCTCATTGACTGGTCCAAGCTATGGAAGATGTCCTTCAATAGTGAGAAACGTAAAGTTATAAAATTCGGCAAAAAACAAAGCAAAAATCTCGAAAGCCGCTACTTTATAATAAAAGATGATATTGGAGCTAATTTTAATTTTAAAAACCACAAAATCTGAGAAAAAAACTTAGTGTAATTTTTAACAACAAAATAAAATGGAGTTATCACATCAAACATGCAATAAATAAAACAAATATTGTCTTAGCCATGCTTAAGTGAACATTCAAATCTTGGACAAGAACTATTTTTGAGTTGTTTACTAACTTCTTTCGGCCTCATTTGGAATACTGTGCATCTGTTAGGTATCTTTTTCAAAAAAAAAAAAAAGGCATAAAGGACTCTAGAATCCGTCCAGAAAAGAGCAACTAAACTTATGCCAACAATATGAAGTTTAGATTAAAAAACCCATCTCACTTATTTCAATCTACAAACTCTAGAACAAAGAAGAGAAAGAGTGAATTTGATTTAATATTTTAAAGCCGTCAAAGAGTTTAACAAAGATAATTAGTTTCATATCCATGCCCTACCACATTCCCTATTAGCACTAGGACCTTCAAGTAATGTTAGGGGATCTAAATTAAGACTGTCGAGACATTTCACAAGAAACCAAGCGAGATTTAATTTCTTTACACTTAAATTCACTATTTAAATAGTCTATTTTATTTTGTTTTGGAACTGCGTATTTATTTTAACTCCATTTTAAAATGTTAAAAATGTTGAAACCTTATTCCAATTAATAAATTTGACGTTTTTTACAACGACAGCGAGGAAAACCGTTGCCGTTATTTATATTATTTAAATTATTATTACCGTAAATAAAAAAAATTTTGGAAACTGAATATAATCGCATAAATGTTTTAGATTTAAAGTAGATTATTTAGAGTTAAAAATATAGCCATAAAAATTATTGTAAAGGATTTTGGATATTAGATTTTGGTTGATTTTGGTTTCGTTTAGGTAAACATATCAACCTGAACCAAACCTAAAACAACTAAAATCAAAAAAGCAGACTAAACGTGCTTATCTGCTATATAGTTTTAAAATAGAATGGTACATATTTTAATAAAATGTTTATAAGTTTTTCCATATTAACATTATGCATTCTGTTATGGAATAAAATGGTTTATCACAAAATTGTATAATTATGATTTATTATAAGCTTAAATCACATCGATTTGTTGAAGATTGAGAAAATGTTTTTAATTATACAACTATTGATAATTAATACAATTTAAAAAATACCTATGAATATAAAATAAAGCATTTTGAATTTACATCTGTTCATGAATTTGGTGCTTGCACATATGTTTTATTAAAACAAATAGTAAACTTTTAAAACTTTACTATTTGTTTTAATACAACATAAAGAATTTTTTAATTTAAGTTATTATAAAACAATTTATACCATAATAAAATGCATTATGTTAACTTAGAAAAATTTAAAAATATATACCATTCTATTTTTAAATCATATAATAAATAGGCAAGTCTTAGCTTACATCTGTAAAAAATGTTGAATATTTTCAACATATGTCAAATATTAAAATTTTCATTTTCTATTATCTTAAAATGTCTCTGATATATGTATTTCAAAGAAGTATGATGTTGTATACTTTTAAAAAAATGTCTCACGTAATTTTTAGAGAAAACATAGAAATAGGTGTTAATGAGAATAACTTAAATATTTAAATTACATTTTATTTCAATTATTCATTCAAGTTTTTTTTATTTAATTCAAGTTAACATTTATTTTTGCCTCAGTATTATCATAAATCTGATATCAGATATGAGATTTATGGTAAAATTTATCAGCTTTATAGTATTTTAGATATCACATTTAAAATTTTTAAAAATTTTGCTAGCTTGAAAATTACATTACAAAAATTAAAAATTATGGACTACAACTAAAAATTTTAGATGTAGCCTATATTAATATCTAAAAATTTTAGATATCAGATTTATGGTAATCTTGGTACAAATTAATTTTTGCTAGAATTTGATCATTTAAATGAAAATAAATTTCAATTTAAATACTTACTGAATATGTTTTTATTTTAGCAATATATTTTTATTTATATCCATTTCTGTATTTTATACAATATGTTTCTGAATAACTTATATGAAAGGCATTTTTTTATTTGACATTATTTTTAGTAAAATAAATACCAATATTCATCTTATATTCATAATCTAAAATTTATATTTTTTAATTTGTAGTTTTCTTTTTTGTTATTTAAGTTTTAAGCAAGGTAATAATTTATAGTAAATATTTTTTATGTTGTAGAATGATAACAATCGATTCCCCAAGTTATCGGTTTCCAATCATACGTTTATATTCTGGATTCGCAATTTTGTTGTTAGCAGATTTAATTTCATCATTATTTTTATGGGTCTCGACAACAGATGTAGAAAAGCTAAGAAGCTCTATAATTTCTTTTGAAATTAAAAACTCAACTTTTGACTTAGCATGTATTGGTTTTTTTCGAGGTTTGTTAATGATTATTACATTAGCAAAGTTGGAAAATATGACTATTGCAGCAAGTCAAGATGGCATCAAAAATGAAAAGCCACGAAAATTAATTAGTTTTTTTGGATTTGTTATTTTTCTTGGAACATTTGTTTATACTGCTTATAAAGATTTAGTAGTATTGAAAGACAAAAACAGTAGCAGAGGTATCAAATTCTATGCCTTATGCATTTCCTGTTTTGTATTTGGAACTTTGGAATTATTGGTATATGTGAAGTTCTTATATCACTTAAAGCATCTACAGAAGATTTATTCATGCCTTAAAAATGAAGATACAACTTCTAATTTACCTGCAAAGAAAAAAGTTAATTTTTTACGCCTGATGAAATTGACTTATCCAGTAAGTAGCAAATTGTGATATTAACAGCAATTTTATAAAGAATTCAATTTTATGAACAATGCAGCATAAAGTTTCAAAATAAGCACTAAATAATAATATATATGATTTTTGATTCCTTTTTTAAAATATCTGGCTTATAATTTGTTATAAGTTATCATAAAGTAAAAACTGTGAGTTCATAATGGTGAACATTTTTTTAATTAACAACACTTTATATAAATTTGAATTTGATATTCTTAAACAATTTTGCTTAAATCAAAAGTTTGTTTCTAAAATTTAGTTTTACTTTTTTTATTTTGTTGCTATAGGAATTATTGAGACTTTTTATTGGTATGCTTGGTCTATTTTGCTCAACTGGATCAAAGATGATTGCTCCATTATTTTTTGGTTATGTCATTCAAGCAGCAAGTGCAGTTCAAATGGGTAAAACAATACTTATACAGTTATTACTGCAAAAAAAAACATTTTAGTTTTACTGTTTTTCTTTTTAGTAAATGAATTAATAGTGATATTAAGTTTTAGTGTCAAGTTATTTTCTGTTAAAGCTAAAGAAAAGAAAGTTTTAACATTTATTTAACATTGAAAAAATCATCATCATTATTATCATTTATCATCATCATTTGATTGCGGATTTAATGTTCTTATTTTCTTGGATATTTCTCACAATGCTGTTTATCCAATTTAATATTTAGAATACAATGCATTTTGTAAGTCTTGGCAGCTGCAACACTTGTTTGGGTATTAGGTTATTTACTCTAATGTCAGTTCGTGTTAAATTCTTTTGAAATTGTTTTTTGATTTGTTGTTGTCAATAAAGTAGAAGTTTTGAACAGATTTGGATTGGTTGATATGCATTAGCCTAATATCTTAATAATTGTTCCCACAAGTCATACTCTGACCCATTAACAATTAGTAAGTGTCAGGGGTCCTGCTCCTGGCCCCGCCTAAAAATGAAACTTTCTAAAAAAACAGCCCCAGCCCCAGCAGATAATAAGGAAAAATTTCTTCAATAAATATTGCAAAAGTATTTTACATTCTTTTACAACTAAATTAAGTTTTTTTTAATCCTATTTAATTTTAAGTCTTTTAATTAAAAAATTTTATATAAAAAAATCAGTTTCTTTAACAAAAATATTTTCCAAATAAACATCACAAACAATATTAAAGGATAACTTAAATATTCTAAAATAAAAAAGTTTTTGCTCAACATAAAATTGCTGGATGCCTGAATAAATTGCTATTTCATATGTTGCAAATTGTATGATTCAGGCAAACATGAAGATGGGTTAATGGGTGAAAGTTCCAAAATATTGATATCTTTTTTTTTTTAATTTGTCATTTAATTAAATTCTGGCGCTTTTTCCTTAAGTTTTCATTTACAAAATGAATTACGTCATTAATAATAATTATTTCTTCCCGTTGGTTTGACAAGGTTTTAACTAATACTTTTTATATAAGGAGAATTAAAAAAACTTTTTTTTTTTTATGTGCATTAAAATCATTTATTTTATTGTTTTTTTATTTGTTTATGTATTATTATTTTGTTTGACATATAGATGTAAATAAAAGATTTAAATGTGAATACTTTGCAGCATTTCAAAAATTCAACCTTATAAAAATAAAGTAATACGCATAAATGTTAAAAGTGTAAGTAAAAACTTCGACAAACCAATGACTCAATTAAGTAATTAAGTAATAATAAAGATATTGTTACTCAATTAAGTAATAATAATGCTCTTGGTCTTGCGAAAAAACTGTTTTCGGTTTGATAACTTTCATGAATGTTATGAAAAATCACTCAGGAAGAGTGCCACTAGTTTTAAAAAAATTGCTTTGTTAATTATTTTGAATGAATGTTTTTAATACTTACGCAATTCTTTTGTTATGTAACTCTTAATAATAAATAAAAAAAAATGTGCTAGATAATGTAAGTGATGTAACTTGAGTAAAATATACAGTATCAAAAAAACAAGTTTATTTTCCTTAGCCGATCAACTCTGATTTTTTAACAAAATTTTAAAATTGATATAGAACTGTCAGCATTTTGTGAAAGTTTCTTATTCAAACTACTTTACTGATTCACAGAAATCAGACCTAGAAATTGAAGCAATTTTTTTACCTTGTTTTCTGTGTAATATAAGTGTTAGTGGCATTTTCAGTAATAAGTTTGCTCTCTTTTGGCCAAACTCGAAACTTTTTAGATTATTTTATTCATTAGACAACAGCTTTTATACAAAATAGCAGTAAGTATAATTTAAAGTTTAAATGAGCAAATATTTGATAAAGTTGTTGCCCGTGTAACGTAAGTTGAAAATGGAATTGCCCATATTTATTTTATTTTAATGTTTTTATTTTCTCATTAATAACTACAATAATAAAGTATTATTAAGAAAATTAAAATGATATAACAAACTAGTTTTGTTTTTCAATGCGTTTTTAAAATGCATAATTTTTAATATATGCAAAAAAATTGTGGTCAACAAAAGTTATCAACAAAAAAGTATATATGCGTGGTCATTCAAGGCATGCGATCACACGCGTCTCCTGAGAAGGTCTGGTTAAGGAGTCTACTTTATTTGTGGTTACAAATCTTTCTCAACTCTATAACTCTGAAACTCGAACCTTGACTAACAAGGCTGCTGTGTGGAGAAACTAGTTAAGCATGGTACTACAAGGGATGTGGTGGGCATCAAACTCTGAACTTCTTGCTTATAAGGTGATTGCTCTACCACTACACCACTACCACATAATAAAGAAACTAATACTTGATTGATCGTAGGATAGGCTATCATGGAAATGAAATCACAAGCCATAGAAAATTAAATTTAAAAATTGGCTTTAGCATCAGAAGGCAAAGTGATGTCTAGCAACGAGTTAACCTGTTTAACTGGAATGACAGGAAGAACATTTTTTTCAAACTCTGCCTTATTCTGTAGAGAAGTAATAAGATTAGACCCATGTATTAGAGATGGAATGTTAGACACTTATATAGATTTTTTTTTAAATCTTAGAACATAACATCTGAGATAAGATACAGTACATACTGAAATAAGATTTAGTAAACAGAACAAATAAAAGTTATTTACTTTAGGATATATTCTGTTGTATAAACATTGGTATATATATCAATGTTTATGCACTGGTCACAAACTTTTCCCTGGCTCCAGCTACTTTTTATCAAACCTGGCTCTGGTCAAATTTTAGCCCCAGTCACTTACTATTAACAATGCTGTCATTGGTAATGTTATCAATGTTTGCAGATATTTTTTTTCTGCAGTGTTGAAAATACTGAGGATTTTAGTGTTATTTGTGTACATTTTTTAAAAGTTTTTGTTATTAACCATCACTCTGGTTAATGAGTTCAAGCAAAGTCAAAATCTGCTTAAAGAAAGCAACTTGTGATCCATGTCTTTGATCTCAAGTTAGCCAATTACAAAAAATATCTGACAATTTTTCTTTGCATTAACAGCAAACATGCTGTAAGCATTCAAACTGTATCATTTTATTTTAAGTCAGGCCAAATTAGTATAGATTTAGTTTTTATTGTCACTACCCTAAACAAAAGGTGTCAATCTATTTATATAGACTCATAATCAAAGGAGATATGTTTATATCTCCTTTGATTATGAGTCTGTTTTGAAATCACCTTGTTACTATTGATGGTTTTGAATCAATAGATGAAGATTACACATGTTCTTATGTTTTTAAGGCATATGCTAACACAATACCTATTTTATATGATTCAAATGGAATGAAACAAGGAATAATGGTCTTTTAACCTACAACATATTATGCAAGTTTCCTATTGATGTCTTTTTCTTAAAATACATGATTGCTACAAAAAAAAAAAAACGTTAATCTCATGGAATTGAAGGTAATATTTAAAAGTTAATTATATCATTTCTTTTCAATCTTGAAAATGTAACATTGTAACAAAATCACTCATGGCACTTTTTTTTTAAGTTTATGGTTAAACACTTTTTACATTATTTAAGGTTAATATCAATAAAATGTAATTTAATAAATGTTAATCAATCCCAATCCACTCTACATCTCTACTTTATTGACAACTCACCAGCAATCTTAACAAAATTTAATTTCAATTAACCTCAGCTTAAAAAAACTATGTGATGCTCAAACTGTCTTCAGTGTATTTGTTATTTATTTTCAGTGTGTTTGTATATTTAACCAACTTTGTTCCACTTAATTTTAAGATAAAATAACTAGTAGTAATAAGCCTTTGAAATTTTTTTTTTCAGTTAAAGATTTGTAACATGAAATGGATTTGAATGTTTTAATACAGTTTGTGGGTGATAAATGCATCTGATAAAAAGGAACTTATGATGTAATTTGAGTTTACACAAATAATAAGTTTTTTATTCTATAAATATTGTAATTAAGAGAAGTAGCTGAAAATTTATTAAACCAGATTACTGTAATAAAAATGACCTTTTATTCAAAGTTGTTTCTTATATAAATTAATGATCTTTCTGTCAATATTACTGAAGTGGCTCTACTTGATGACACAACTATATACTGTTGTCTTGAGAAATAGGCATTTCTTTTTTATTGCTTAGAACATGCAGCTGATCTTGAATCTGATCTTCTGTTTAGTGTTTAAATTTTACCTAGTTCTATCTTCTGTCTAGTTTTATCTTCTGTTTAGTGTTTACAGTGGTTTTTAAATTTTACCCTAACAAAACTCATTTATTTACTGCTAACAATTACAACAATATTGTTAGTATTCCTATATTGATAAATTATTATATATTAATAAATTAATAAATTATAATATATTATATATATTATAATTTATTACAGAATTTATTAATATTCCTATATTGATAAATTCTGTCCCTGACTCCTCTACTTTATCTTTATTTGTATTCACAACTAACTTCTCATGGAAGCCATGTATACAATACAAATTTAGCATTTGCTAAGTTTTTTTCTCATTATTAAGCTTGCCATATTCTTACTCTTGATTCCATTTTCTACATCTCTTATTCATTTCTGTATGCAAAACTGTTGTCATATTTGTGGTAATAATGAGACCATCTTTATTTTAGACAGGGTCAAAAATCACCTTGTGATATAGTTACAACTGCATTAATTGTTGGAATATGATCAGCAACCATAGTCAATACTACCATGGTTGCTACTCAAGGAAGCTATCCATATTCCAGTAGTTCCAACAATGCAGTTGTAGCCGTTGGTTGATAAAAGATTAATACTTGCTAAATTTGCTGAAATCATTTAATTTTTAAATTATAATTCAATGTTTTGACTACAGCATAGGTAACTTTAGGTAAGATTAACTAAATTTGTAAATAAAGTTGGTATAAAAACATTTAAAATAGAGTATAAACAATATTAGAGACCATATGATAAATTAGAAAAATTCTAATAATTTTATAAAAAAACAATTAACAATGTAACCTATGTCATAAAGCTATAAAATAAATAAAAATAGATACATACATGCATACATACACATAAATACATACATACATACATACATACATACATACATACATACATACATACATACATACATATATACATACATACATACATGCATACATATATACATACATGCATACATATACATGAAACTGGCAGATAATAAGATATTTATGTTTGTTTGATGACCTCAAGTTAAAAATAATGTTGCATTAGCAATCATACATACGCAGAATTTATTAAATTTATTGCAATATTTGAATAAATTAAAAAATTCGAAAAAATTACATCAACACTAATTCTACATTTGCAACGTATTGTCACTAATTTTTTTTAATGAAAACATGTTTAACCGATCTTACCAGAATACAAAGAGGGACTAAAAAGAAACAGCTTCACTGATTTTTATTTAAAGAAAAACTTTAAAGAAAAAGTCAAACCAAAAGAGAAAGAAATATAATATATGATTCAATCTTCCTTACAGTAAAAGTATTGCGCTTTTTTTGTTTTCTTAATTAACAAACATTTTCAGATTCATTTTCATTTTCACCCCTAAATAACTTATTCCAATGTCCCACCCCATAAATAAGTTATTTAATCAAAATACAAAGTGAACTTTAGCTGCACCAAAAATATTGACACAATAATAAGCCACAAAAAAAAAATATATATATCACCCACCATGAACACCCACCATGCAATTGCATAAACAAACAAAATTGCCCATCAAAAAGAAAACGAAGAGTCTCAAATACTATTTATAAATATATAGCGAAAAAAAAAAAATGTTTACTTTGACCTCAATGAAAAACTTTTAACAACTTCTTTACAAAGGTACTAATTTTTTGTACACCATATAAAATAATTAGAAAATTTATCTTAGACTTTAAATTTTTTTTTTAAATTTATAAAATTTTTAATTTTTAATTTTAATTTTGAAAATATTGTACTAATTTTGACTTTTTATGTAAAGATATTATTTAGAAGTTGCATGAAATTTTTATTAATTTGTTATTTAATAAACAACTTTTTGGTTATTATTTTTTCTGATGCACTTTTTACATCATATGAATTGTGCATATTTTTTAGACGCATTGAACAAGCAGATTTTACTCTTGTTTCTTATATACATGATTGGTTCTGTTGGAGAGTTGATCAGCACTTGGCAATTTTCTTTAGCTGGTCAAAGTATTGTTGCAACACTTCGAAAAAATGTAATTGAGTTTATATATATATATATATATATATATATATATAAATATATATATATATATATATATATATATATATATATATATATATATATACACATATATACAGTAAATAGTATTTAGTTGCGAAAAGCTGGCCAGATTTTGTAATCGTTTTGAGAACATTTCAAAAAGCAAAAAAAAAAAGCGCATAAGATTATTTGGACCGATAAGAGACAATTACAAAAAAAAAAAATAGGCAAATAAAATATCTTTAAACGCGAAAAAATTTAATGTTTTAGTGTTATAAGTTTTAGTATTATTTAAGCTAAATTATTTTATAAATAAAAAAGTTAATTTTCTTAATACCTATTTTATGTTTCGTGTAGTTTAAAAAGTTCAACATATTTGATGCAATTTTTCTTAGTAAGATAAACAAATGAAATTATTAAATCATTGAATAACTATAGAAATTAAATTAACAAGATAGAAATCAACTAAAAAGGTTAAAAATACTTTATGACGAGGAAGCGAAACTGCTTCACAATATTGCTGATGTTTAGTGAGTGGGCTTTTTAATTTTAATTAGTATTTGAAACAGAAAAAAGTATAACGAGTTTTTAAGAATGGCAACTGAAGCGAAAATAATTAGAGTTAGTAAACCAATATCTAGAAACTTTTCTTTATTTGCTATATATATTTGTGTTCTGTCGTGACCTCAGGCGCGGTGCTTGTTCAACGCATACAAAGTATGCGTTGTTTTTGTTTAGTAACCAGAAATTTCTTATATGTTTGTTACATAATTAGTTTTATTAACTTTAACGATTATAACTTCATAGAAAATGCAATTAATTTTGTAAGTCTTTGTTTAAATCATAAAAATTGTATTAAAAGATACATTACGATAAAAAACAGATACACAAAATTACATTTACACAAAGAATTCATACTTTTTAAATAAAAAATAAGAATATTCTAATAAAATCAAAAATTTATAATAAACTTTTAAAATTTTGACAAATTAATATATTTAAAACATTTATTTTTTTAAACAAACAATATACGATTTATTCTAGAAATCTCAAAGCGTAACAAATCGTGAATAATACGATTTCTAAAACATTTCAACAGAATGCTCTAGAATTTTATTTCGCTTAGTCAGCGTGTTTTTTGAACCAATAGAATTTGTTTGTTAATTTGGCGAGTTTTTAATGTTTGCGAATATTCTTTTTATTCTTTCGCACAAAGATGTTTTGAGAACATTTAAGTTTTTTATGTTTCCATGTATGTCCGTAAAACAAAAATTTTGTTTTACGTAAAAAAAAACGGCTAAAAAACCTGGCCAGTTTTTTGCAACTAAATATAATTTCCGTGGTCAGTATTTGATAGCGATCGCTCCTGCTTCCCGACCAAGCCTGTATATATATAGAGGCGGATCAAGCATTTTCTGGTCTTTGAGATAGCTAACTTCCAGACTCTAAACACACTCTAAACATTTATATATTTATACTTATGTCAAATAAGGATGCTTTGCAAAAAATTGCAATATTTGGAACTTTGGAATAAAAAAAAAACAAAAATTTTTGCTCTATTGCCCCAAACGTGAGAACAACAAGTTAATGAAATATTTTTTGTACTATTTTCAACTAAACTTATATTAATCGAAAAATTTTAAATTTCATAGTAAAATATTTTAAGGTCGTTTTCCACAAGACGAAATATTCGCGCGAAGCGAATTTTTTCGCTATAACGAAACGCTGTTTTGATTTCCACTTACTTTCTTTCGTGCTACTTCTTTTTGGTTGTCAACAATAAAAATGGCAGCAATAAGTTTACGCTGTATGTTTAACTAAAGGCAGTTAATACTTTTTTAGCATACTTTCTACTTTAAAGCATGTGAAAATTTCTTTCCGTGCATTAATATTAACATTTCTACCTTTATATGTAAGATGTGATATTATTTTGTAATATAATCATTTAATAAAAGGTTTTTTTTACAAGAAAGTATAAGAAAATAAATGCTAAACTCTGATATGAACATTTCTATTAAAAACTGTTACTGCAAGAACGAACAGCAGGTTTAACTCTATGTAGAATTTTTCACAAAAAGGTTTATCTTCTCATGAAGTGTAACTTTCGTAATTCTCGATTTAGTTTTATATACAAGTCTGATCATTTTTTTATGTAAGTCTTGCCCCTTGTTTGATAAATTTACTCATGCTAGCCAATTTTCAGAGTAAGTTCATATAAAATTAATAAGAACGCCAGGTTAAGAATTTTGTTTTTTGTTACTTTAAAAACAACATGTTTCAGCTTTTTTTTAATGTTGACATCACGTGATGTAATATTCAAAACTTTATTGGTTTTTGTTTATGGCGATTCGCAAAAAGTCGAAATGAATCCGACTTTTTTTTTCGCTTCAGCGAAACGCTGTAACGAAAAAAAATCAGTACAATTGCCAAAAATGTTTAATCATCGCATGCTTAACGACGAAAAAATTCACTTCGCGCGAATTTTTCGTCTTGTGGAAAACGGCCTTTAGCGTTCAAAAATTATGACCATATAAAGTTTAAACCCCCTCAATTTGAGAGGGTTGCAAATTTTATAGGGTCATAATTTTTGCAAATTATTAGAGAGGGTTGCAAATTTTATTAGGGTCAAATTTTTTGCAAACCCTTCATTATTTGACATACGTATAAACATATAAAAGTTTGGAGTTAGCTCCATTTCTATAAGTTAGCTATCTTAAAGACCAAAAATTGCTTGATCCGCCCCTGATGTATGATATGAAATTTGTGTAAAATGTCAACCTGATACTTTTTAAATTTTGCTTGAGATCCTGTGATTAAAAGAATTAGTTGAGGTTGACTTAAAAAACTTGTTAAAGATATGACCTTGATATTTGTTGAATTTAACTTAAAATACTTGTTCAAAATATGACCTGTTAAGGTTGACTGACAATACTTGTTTAATGACCTTGATAACTGTTTTTTGTAATTGCTTATAAATTATGGATGTACCGGAATTCCGGCTGGATATTTTTCTTTTAGATCAATTTGCTTCAGGCTGAAATTGAATTAAAAATTTTTTTTTTTATGACATGTAACACAGGCTGTGTAAATAATCAAAAAATCATTTTCCTTCAGAGCAATGATGAACAATAGGTAAACCTAGGTAAAAAATACAAATGTAAGTTTATTTGCAGAAGTAGTAGTACTGCATTTCAAATACATTTTCAAAAGTTACATTAATGTTTTTTACCTTAGTTTACCCATAGTTCTTCATTGCTCTGTAGGATAATGATTTTTTGATGTATTTACCCAGCCTGTGTCACAAGTCATAAAAAAAACAGTAAAAAAAAAATTTATTTCCAGCCAGAAGCGAATTGATCTAAAAGACAAAAATTCAGGCCGGAATTCCTGTACATCACTATTATAAACAATTTGAAAAAAAAAAAGCGAAAAATTTTGTTTTCTGATGTTTTGAAATATTTTTATGCATTAGGAAAAGAGGATTGTAATGTTGATTTTTGTAATGTGTATAGGGCATTTCCAAAAAATCACTCACAGAAACTCGTATATGTTTTTACTTTTATTTTCATAAAAATAAAACTAGCGATCTCCAATTTACTCTCATTTAATTCTAATCAATATAAACATTTTGTAAACAAAAAATAGTAAGCATTAGTAATGTTAACAAAGAATAAATAAAGTTTGAAATGGAATCACGCACAGAACAGAAAAACTTCTATTTTAGTTACTAGATAAATAAACTTTAATTCCTCGGACAATATAAGTTTCACCGGTATACTTATTTTTTTAAATAATAATTTAAACATTAGTAAAGATTTAAAGAAAGTTACAGGATTGCACTTGAATCATAGAGTCACAGCAATCGTTTAAATGCAGTTTATGAATGATCACGCACGCAATAAAATTGTAAAAATGTGTATATTTAATTTATTCAGCCTAAAATATGATAAAAATGTTTTTGTTATAATTGTTCTTTAAGAAAATCAAAGTAGTATGCATATTGCATAAATTCCCAGCTTTTAATTGCTAACACAAAGAGAAATAAAAAATCACGCACAGAAATGAAAATGCATTATATATGCAGAGGGTGGGGGAGGGCTTTTAAGGCATAAAGGTGTGTATAAGAGGGAGAGAATGGGGTCTTAAATCTGGTTTTACTGTATACATACTTTATAGATGCCCCCTTATATAAAAAGAATGTTTAATATTGAAAATGTTATAAACAGAATATTTTAGTTTTTAATTGCTTTAGACATAAGGATGCTAAAATTTCATATAAATATTTATGATGTAGTTATAGTGTTATAGATGTTTCTGAGATGCAACATAAGCTCATTATTTTAATAATATTAAATATTTTTTGATTTTTTTTTTTAGCTTTTCAAACATATAATCAAGCAAGAAATTGCTTTCTTTGACTTAAATAGGTAGTATTAGTTATAAATATGCACACATATTACATGCAAATTTAAAATATATTGTTGATTATTCTTCATAGATTAATTATTTATATATAAATATATAAAATTTAAAATATATTTTTGTTAGGACATTGAAAAACACTTTTATAAAATTTTTATACTATTTTAATTTCATAACTAATCACAAAAAGGTTTTTAGATATGTGATATCTATTTTAAGCAATTAAAGTACATTTTAACATCAACCAATCATTGAAGTTATTACATCAATATCAACCAATTATTGCAGTTATTACATAATTGTTTATTATGATTTGATTCACATGACATGGTAAAAATATTTTATATGGGTAAAGTAAATTTTTGACAACAAAATCATTTACATTGTTTATAAATATTGTTTAAAAGCAACCGATGCAGTTAAATGCATTAAATTAAGTTTTGAATTTGAAATTTTGGTTATGGTTTTTATTGCTAGAAGATCAAATATTTCTTTTAATAAATAAAAACTTTAATATCCCAGCTCCTTTTAAAGCTTGTTATGACAAAAGATCATACCTAAACGGAGCAAGGTTTACTTAACAAGATAAAAGTTGCACACTGCAGTTGAATTATGAGAGTACCCTTGAGTTATTACATATGCAAAACTATATGCTGTGCAACTCTGGGGTTCAAATCCCATCATCCAAATTTACAGGAGATCAACTTTTAAGAATGTACCCTCATTAAAAATGTTGTAACTAAAATAATGTTAATGAAAATCTTTTCTTGATGTATATTAGAACGAATGAGTTTTTAGGATACATATTTTTTTTAACTTATTACTTATAGATTATTAATTAAATTTAAATGTCTTTCATGAATATAACTAAAGAATATAATAAAACTCCAAAGAAATTTAGCACTGCTAAATCATATATAGCACTGCTCATATAAAAATGCTGATATGTCATATAAAATAATTTTCTGATTAAACATAAAAGTATTTTGACACATTTTCAGTTTTCTAATCTTGTTCTGTTATTAAAATTATGCTTATGTTGTTAGAGATTTATATATAAAAAAGATATGTATATCAAGAGAAGAATTAAGCGATTAGGAATCGCAAATTGTAGTAGGCCAAAGCCGAAGTCTGGAAAGTATATTGCTTAAACCAATCATGATTGGGGTGAATTATCTCAAATTTACCAATCGCAAAAATTTTTTCCAGGAAAACCAATAAATTTACTGAAATAAAAATAGCAAATTACTTGCACAATACTCTTGCAACTATTATATTTTAAATATTATTTATATAAAACTAGCTTCGCCAGACAAATAACTGAAAGTAATATTCTTCTGATCAGGTTATTTTGTGTCAACATTTTTGTAAAACATAAAACCATTTTTTATAAAAAAACCCAGGAATATAAAAATTACCTTGTTTGTTTAAATGGTTAGATTTACCTGAAATTTTATAAAGAAAACCTCATATTATATACCATGAAACTTATTTTAAGAAAATCATTTAGTATTGAAATATTAGACTTGAATATTATCATGATTACTCTGCTAATTATAACATGTAATTTAGCACAACATGCTCCATATCCTGATGCCTTGTAGGATTCCCTTTTCTAAACAAAGAGAAGGTAACTCTGACTTAAAATAATCCTGCATAAAAGCTTTTGGTTGAATAAAGTCTAGGAATGGTGTTACAATAGAAATACTCATCATGGGCAGATATTACCAGCTATTATTCAAAGCTAAAGACTTTAGTAGATGCAATACCATGCACCTGTCTTACATTATTTCTTGCCTAGGATAGTTTATACTTCTTGACTTAATTCATGGGTTTTTCTTTGTTATTGTTTAACCAAAAATTAGTTTGCATAACTTAGCTTGTCTATTTTTGCTTTGAACTCATTTATGCACTGATATTTTATATTTACATAACTCTTTCTTTTAACTCCTAATAATCCATTTAATTAAACAAACAAGTAAAGCAACTGTATAGTACATTGTTTGGGATTCAGACTCCATTCTTTTTGATGTTATTTTTGATTAAATTGATTCTAATACCACCAAACCTTCTGGTTATATTTCTCAATCTCATATGTTTTCCAAACATGTTTTCAAGACAAAGGTAATTTCTCACTTTCACTCTTTGAATTGTGTTTTTCTGACCCTAACTTGCGTTCAGTTTTTCCTAGTTCTCCTTTAGGTGATTCAGACCATACTATGATTTTTTTATCTTCTTGTAATCCCAGAGATCCAAATTACTATGACTTCTTTTGCTTCAAGTTATCTCTTAAGCTCTTCAAATGTTTGTAGTCATGACAACGTTCCTGTCACAGTCTTAAAAAAAAATTCTCTAGAACTCTCATCAATACTCTCTGAACTTCTTAATGTTAAACTGAAAAAATATTTGAATATATATATATATATATATATATATATATATATATATATATATATATATATATATATATATATATATATATATATATATATATATATATATATATATCCTTTGTTTTCCGATAACTCCCAACTTAAATAGTAGTTGCTTGCAGCCTTGATGGGAGTAAATTGTTTAAAATAAAAAGCAGAAATAATTTAAAAAAAAAATCAGCTTGAAGCTTACAGTAGGTCTAATAAAAAAATCTTAAGGAATGTGAAGTATGGGGCAAAAACAAAATGGAAAAACAAAAAAAAAAAAAAAAGTTTTTATATAAAATTTCTTTTGATATAAAAGTTTTACATAAAATTTAAATAAATTTAAGTACTCTTTTCTCCTTCTTTTTTATCTTTTTTTTTTTTTTTAAATATTATTTATGTTAAACTTAAGTTGAAAAAATTTTAAATTAAATTATGAAAATTTTTTGTGGTAAAAATTATTTTTCAGTTTCAATTAACACATTATAAAACAAAACTCAAAATAGAATATTTAAACTCAAATATATAAATCCGCATTGATATTATATTTGACTTTTAGAAGCCTAACTTATTTTTCTAAAAACCAATTATTTTATTACTTTTAAAACCAGAACTGGTGAGTTGACCAATCGACTTGCATCTGACACTGAAGTTATCACAAGTGCTATTTGTGTAAGAATAATATTTTATGTCTATTTAGAGGTTTATTTCTTCAACATATTTATTTGAAATCAACAATTACTTTCTGTTTTAAAGTTTTATTTCATTTTTTTTTATCTGTAAGTAAACCTCTTCTATATTTTACTGCCATTTGTATCTTCTAAAGGGTAATATTTCAAAGCTACTGGAAAATATACTACAAATTATTGGATCTTTAATTATTATGTTAGCTGTATGTCCAAAATTGGCAGGGTTACTTCTTGCTGTTGTACCACTAGTTGGAATTGCTATCCAAAAATATGGTATATATCATAAATATTTTTCTAATGATGTGTTAAAATTTTGTAATATTTTTTATTGGTATTTTGATACTTGTAGTATTTAATCTATGAACCTAACATTTATTATCCAATTATAATGTCTGATATGTAATTTAAATATCTAATATATTTTCCTATTGTCTAATTTCTGATTTTATATCTAATATTTAATCCCGATACATGTTATCAAATCATTATATTTAGTATTGAATCAAACAGAAATAAACATATTTTTAAATTAAAAAGTACACTAAAAAGCATTTGAAGTTAATGTTAGAAATAAATTTGCAAAATTCTTTAGGGAATTTTTTCTTAACTGATTCTTGCTTTTCTGGTTAATGATTAACCACGAATCTCTGCACAATTTTGTTAATATAATTTGATTGCTTAACATCCTTGGAGGAAATGCATCATGATCTTTTACTTTATGCAAAATCAACCCATTTACAAAATCCAGAAAATGATTGTAAAGTCATTCTTCAGCCTTATATTCATTTTCAATTGTCAGGTTTTTACCTTTGAAAAAAAGTTAAATTCCCCTCTGAAAATCAATTTTTCTGATTTTTAATTCAAAACTTATTTTTACCCAAAATGCGAGGATTGTCCATAGTTACAAGATAATGGATGGACATAATAAAAATATGAGAATGGCATAGTTCAGGGTTTTTAGAAGTTTTTAATTTGAAAATAAAATAAGATTTTTCTTATTTTATTTTCATAATTTGCTTCCACAGCATATACTTCGTTGTTGAATGCTTCCTCAAGACATTTAACGACATTACTCATTTGTACATTTTTGGGTTACCTTCCTCTCCCCATACCTCCATGTATACTTTAAGTACCCTTGTGTGTAAAAATCAATTTTTTTCTTCTCTTTACTCATTCTATTTTGTTGCTAAGCAAACCAAGCCAATAGCCACAAAAACCTTTGCACTTTTTTTGACTTCAGTTACTTCCTCCCATTCTTAAGCCTTTTTTTCCCCATTTTCCATTGGCATTTTTAATTATAAAAAATATTTTTTTAAAACTAAAATAAATCAATGCATATAGGCTTAATGTTATAAGAACATTATCCTTGTTTTCAATATTATTAAACAAAAAATAAATTTTAATAGATATAAAAATTAAAATAAAACCCTAAAAAATCCAAAATTACCTTTAACACCGACTGGGCCCGGTTTTTTTTTTAAAGCCTGGATTTTTGCCAACCCTGCTAAACCTACATCAATAGTTACACTAATTACAAAAACAGCACATCAGCTATGAAATGATTATTAACATTTCAGTTGGTATATATACTAACTGAAATACTGCAGATAATCAATGAAAATGAACTTGTTGACCAAGACTAGAAGCTATAGTAAAAATTCAAATTTTCAAAGCTGCCTTTACCAACAATCATCATTATTTTCATCAACACCAGAACAGTTATGTTTTTTAAGCAAGCAACTTATCTTCAGTAAACAATATATAAAAAAAGAAGTTTAGTGCAAGAATAATAACGAAGGCTTATCATGTAAGAATTCCTAAAACCTTTTTTGCAGGATCATTGTATAATACATCTAATGCAATTTTAAAAAGGTATCAAATGCAGACATAGACAGCATTTGTGATATAACACAACAGATAACTCATCTTAAAATCCATTAATCAAGTATGACATAATCAAATTTAGTGTTGAGTTGTTACTGCTAGGTTGTATAGACCTTGTGACATTAAAGATACATTATACTAGCTTAATTGATTAGGTCAATTGTATTGCTCAAACAAGGCCTGTTAACTAATAATTGTTCTATTATGCTGTTATATGTAGATTTTAATCTACGCCACACATGGTATATAAATAAATAGATGGTAGAGTTGCAATTGTTGAGCAATTCATCCATCACATGATAGATGGTTTATACTCAAAATTTGAGGTTCCAATCATGTTTAGAAGACAATGTTTTAAGATAGCTGATAAAGTTTCTGACTTACCCTCATTCAAGTAATGTTGATCCATCATCAACACTTGACCTAGTTATTAGTAATGGTTGATGATTCAGGTTTCTAACAATTTCAGAAGATTTTACAGAAGACTTTACAAACAGGATAATTGCTTGTAGTTATTACTTAGTCTCTCTCAAAGAAAAAACACCAGTAATTTCATATCTCATCTGAATATGATGTACTATATACTAAAATAGTCTCAAACATTTTTAGTTACCATATTTGAAGTTCAGACAACTAGCAATAGTTTTAACATGTTCAAATGTTTAAGAAATCTATTGTAGAACAAATATTTTCAACATAAATTCTACTTAGCGTTTACACAAAAAACAGTTAAAGAAAAACAAGCTGTAGATCAAAAACATAGCTGCAGGCCACTGTACTTATGCAGCTTTACAAAATGGAAAAAAAGTTGCATACAAAAATATTAAAAAGATAATCAAAGAGGCCATATTATTATTTGAAGAAGAATTAGAAGAAGAATTAGAGCTTACACATTTAAGTCAAACCCATCTGCACATACATCTACTTAGTTAGCAGCTAAAAGTGTCTACACAAATAAATTTTCAGCCTAGAAATAACAAATGGTTCAATAACTATATAAAAAAGAAGAAATATACACATTACTAGTGATTAATCAAGATTATCAGCTTAATCTGCCACTTTTTTCACAATCTTTCAATTTCCAACTGATTTACTGATTTTTCAAAAAAATATTGCTATAAAATCTTATTTGTGATAGTAGGGTTCAAGTCGTGCAAGCACATATTTTAATTATATTGATGCATGTGATCAAATAATTGCAATATTAAGTTTTGGTGTGCAGGTGCAATCAAATGCTAGCTTTTAGTTAGTTAATGAATAAATAAGGTTTGCCCATAAGTTATCACTTGTTGTCTTATCACTCTGTATCATCAAATTAATAGCATTTTAATATAGTGAATTCTTATTGAAATTTTCACTGACAATCCATCTATATGATCCTAAGAGTATTTGGGTGTTTTGGTGTAAATCTGAATTATAGAATATATATAAATTAATTTTATGATATATATATATATATATATATATATATATATATATATATATATATATATATATATATATATATATATATATATATATATATGTATAGATATATATATATACATATATATATATATATACATATATATGTAAGTATATTGTAGATATTATTATCAATTTTAATGTTCAAAATAAAGGTCTTTTTTTTCCAAATTTTTTTGATTTTCAAAAGAATACAACATTTTGATTTGTTCTGCTTTTTTTCTTTTTTTTAAGGAAATTATGTTGAAAATATGCAAAAAAAGTTACAAGATGATTTGGCTAATGCAGCAACAAATGCAGAAGAAACATTAAGTTCTATGAGAACTGTACGGGGCTTTTCACAAGAGTTGAAGGCTGAAGCAGAATATAATAAAGGGATAGATGCTAGTTTCTTGACTGGAAAAAAGTTGTCATTAGCTTCAGGTTGGTTTTTGTACTTTTTTGTTTCTTTTTAATTTAATTGCTTGTCAGAGCAAATATTAAACATTGTTTTTTGATAAATAAACTTATAAATAGACAAGTAGAAAATTTAACAAGTTATTTTTTTATAGTAATATTACAAACATTTTATTTTTGTCCGTAATTAACAATACCCAGATTTAATTACAGACATAAAGTTAAAAAAAAAGAACATATTTAGTAAATTTTAATTAATCAATTAATAAGAATAATAAATTTATAACAAGTTCACAAGATTAATAAACTTTTTAAAAAAAATAATGGCCTGAAGTTTGACTTAAGTCAACTTTGACTGGATTTGTGTGCTGGTATTTTTGGCTTTCTACCTCTTTTACCTGATTGTTTTGCCAACTAGCTTGTTTTAAATAATTTTTCCTTTCTCTTTTCTTAGCATTTTCTGCTTTTTGAGTAGCTGTAGCAATTTGTTTTGTAGCAAGTTTATTGGCAACTTGTTCCTCTAGTATGTTCTTTTTATGTGTTCAGCTTCTTCAAAAGCTATAGCATCAGATTTTTTTTATAATGTTAAATCACCTCCCCAAGGCCAAGAAAGCCACTATATTTGAAGAGGCTACTTTAATTGCGGTTACAACCCTCAACTTCCTTCAACAACCTTCAACTATATAACTCCGAAACACAAACCTTGATAAACATGGCAGCTGCACGAAACAAGTTGATGCTGTCATATTGTAATTGAATAAAAATAATCTTAATAGCTTTAAAATAGAATTTTAAAGCTATTAAGATTATTTGCATGAGGCAAAAATACTGTTTTAAACCATGCTAGAAATTATTTGGATTTTATCCATCCTGAGTTTCTTGTGTCATAAAAGGCATTTTCGGCACCACCTTTGCACCAGTCTTTCATAATACTGTTACCTGTGTCATTTTGAGACAAAGTTTACATTTAAAAAAGGAAATGACAATAATGAAATAAAATAACTTAATGTAACCAATTTTTGTAAATTACTTGATGTAGCAAAAAATTACCATAAGCATTGCAGCATTTAAGAATTGTTGTTGTTTGATTTTCATTTTTTGGTGATAATTATTTAGGATTTTTTAAGCCTTTTCTACAAACTATTTTGACTTTATCTTGTTTAAATTGTGCACTGGATCATCACAATTGAAAAACATGAAGTGGTTTTTGATTTAGATTGTGCTTAAGATAAACTTCTGTTGCTTGTTGAAATGAAATTTAAATAATTTTATGTTGTGTATACACTGCTCTAATAGATTGCATGCCACTGGCTTGCTGTGATTTAATTTTTTTATCAAATCTTGGTACCATGAATTAGAAAGCTTACCATTTTTAAGTAAGTTAGTTAGATTTGATTCTTTTAAATAGTTTTAACCACAGTCAAAGCGCCTGCATTTGTCATACCAAAACTGATTTCTCTTATAAACTTCAAAAGTTCAATGAGAATTACTTCAGTGATTTAGATCATCTTGGTGCACCAACAACATTTGTTTTATATTTACCTTTAACTACTCTTTCTCTTCATGTTTAGTAAATTTAACAACATGTATTTCCAGAGAAACATAAGTGTATAATGCATAAGTGTATACACGCTTATAAAATATACACAATTGAAACATTCTCATCCTTTTTATTAAATTTAGCAACATAAATTTCTATTAAAAAACACGCAAAATATTACCAATTAATGAATCCAATTTATTGCACATTATTTATCAGAAGTTTTGCACAGAAACGTATTTATAGATTTTTAATCTGAACCTAAATTATTTTATTCTATTTTTTGTTAATTTCATAATGATAAATTTCAAATTGAAATTTAATTTGATTGCAATAATATTTTTTTAAATATAGCTAAGTTTTTGCAATAATTTTTTTTCCTATTATAATTTTCTCGATTGCAATAATATTTATTTAAATTAATATTTATTTAAACTATTTTTTTTTTCTATTCTATTTTTCAACAGTTTTTCTATTCTATTATATTACAGTTCTGTTTGGTTTGTTCTCATTTTTATTTATCAAATTTTTTTTTTATTGTAAATAATAAATAAATAAATAATAGGCAAGGTGCAAAGTTTTGCTGAGTTTTCTGTAATTTATATTTATCCGTAATTAACCATTTCTACATTATTTGGATTTTGTTATTTTTTTGCTGTAATTAATGTTGTCTGATTGCAAATATATCCAAAAAAATAAATGTTTTATGACCTCAATTACATTAATATTATAGTAAAATTATATTCTTTTAATAAAAAAATGTAATTTTATATATTACACACTTGGTTTTTACCTATTTTCTTATTAAAGATATAAGATATGTGAATAAAAAATACTTCTGCAAATTTAAATTAATTTTTAAAAAGCGTTTGCTTGTTGTCCCTTGCCACCAGCATTAAATTATATTGCATATTATTTAAATTGAGGCCCTGCAAAGTCATAAATAAAGTGTGTGTTTCTCTGCACAAGTGCTGTAAGCTTTTCTGAAAGACTTTCTACTTCCTAAATTTCTCTGCTCTACCATCAGAGACTTCTGCAACCTTCAGCAAGAGTCTGAATCTACTATCTCTGAATCTACTATCTTCCAAAGCTAAATAGACTGAAATATGACTGGCAGCTCAGATTTCCTAAAACTGTCAAGCATCTTTTCTTTACTTTCTGCTTTATAACTTAATCAGCCAAAAGTAGCTGCATCAACTATTCATTGAAGTACTAGTAATGCCTCATACTGACAACTAATCTAGACCTATTGGTCTTTAGAGTATTTTTATTAAAGACCAAACATAGAGTGTTGGTCTCTCAATGAAAATATTCATGAAAGAAACATTTTTGTTTGCAATTTTACAACCAAGTATGACTATAAAAATCAGGGCTTATAGATATTAAACAGGCTGTTGTTTCTATAATTTTTTTCTCTCTTTGTTAATAATTTTGATGATCCCTTATTTTCATGGTTTACTTTTATTAAATAAATAAAAAAACCTTGTATTAGATAAATAGACGTTTTATCATAAAATGCTTAATTCTCATTTTTTTTTCAATGTTGCGTTCATAGTTCATTTTTATTTCAATTTTATGACATGTGATTAAATGTTTTCACCAGAGAAACTGACTTGAAATAAGTTTCGAAAGTTCATAAATCACTTTGCTTCCTTTGCAAAATTTGTTTTTTACTGTATAGTTTATGGTCATTGTATACTGATCTCACATGGAAACCATATACACAATTCAGTTCATCTGCTAAATTTGCACTTTAGCAGGTGCTAATATTGCATACTCAAAAAAGCTGATAAACCTAATGGAAAGACAAAATTTAATAAATATTAATAAAGAAAATAAAGATATTATGTATGCAATAATAGACTGCTGTTTTAATTAAATTTCTTGCTAATTAAAGTTTTATTAAATTTCATGCTCATTTTGTCTCAATTGGTTTTATACTACAGAAAATAGCTATATTTTGTTATAGAAAATAGTTAACTTTTTATATTTATATCTTTGATGCAGATTTGGCAAATGTACAATCTTAGCTTGATAAATGATAGCTAAATTAACTATATATTTCATATGCTAAAGTTTGATATTGTATATATGTTTTTTATTTTTAGGTTGTCTCAATATGTTTTTTGGTGTCGTTGTTCAGGTAATTTTCAACTTCATTTTGTATAAATTAATAATAGTTCTATATAAATAAATTGGGGTGGGGTTAGGGGGGGGGGAGGAACTAAATGAGCGAAGAGTTAATAATTAAATATGAAAAGGATCTTGCTCTTCTGTTTTTGAAATAACTGTTAAAAAAGAACTATTTATTTGCAAAATTAAAATTTTAGTAGTAATATTTATACCAATTTTAGTAATAGATATTATATGCAGTTGCATAGTTTGAAATTTAAGACATTTGAAATAATATTTTGGGTTTTAAAGCTTATTAAAATTACAATAAAACTAAATTTATAAAAATAATCAATTTTCATAAGTCAGTGATTTTTAAAATGTTTATTTTTATTGTGCTTTTATCAAGTGCACATAAAAAAGAAGTGCAAAAAATGTGCTAAAAGAAATTATTCATTAGAAGTATATATATATATATATATATATATATATATATATATATATATATATATATATATATATATATATATATATATATATATATATATATATATATATATATATACTATATATATATATATATATATATATATATATATATATATATATATATATATATATATATATATATATATATATATATATATATATATATATATATATAAATAAGTATATATATATATAAGTATATATATAAGTATATATATGTATATATATATATATATATATATATATATATATATATATATATATATATATAAGTATATATATATATAAGTATATATATATATATATATATATATATATATATATATATATATATATATATATATATATATATATATATATATATGTATATATATATATATATATATATATATATATATATATATATATATATATATATATATATATATATATATATATATATATATATATATATGTATATTTAAAATGTTTATTTTTATTGTGCTTTTATCAAGTGCACATAAAAAAGAAGTGCAAAAAATGTGCTAAAAGAAATTGTTCATTAGAAGTATATATATATATATATATATATATATATATATATATATATATATATATATATATATATATATATATATATATATATATATATATATATATATATATATATATATATATATATATATATAAGTATATATATATATAAGTATATATATATATATATATATATATATATATATATATGTATATATATATATATATATATATATATATATATATATATATATATATATATATATATATGTATATTTAAAATGTTTATTTTTATTGTGCTTTTATCAAGTGCACATAAAAAAGAAGTGCAAAAAATGTGCTAAAAGAAATTATTCATTAGAAGTATATATATATATATATATATATATATATATATATATATATATATATATATATATATATATATATATATATATATATATATATATATATATATATATATATATATATATAAATAAGTATATATATATATATAAGTATATATATATATATATAAGTATATATATATATATAAGTATATATATAAGTATATATATGTATATATATATATATATATATATATATATATATATATATATATATATATATATATATAAGTATATATATATATAAGTATATATATATATATATATATATATATATATATATATATATATATATATTATATATATATATATATATATATATATATATATATATATATATATATATATATATATATATATATATATATATATATATATATATATATATATATATATATATATATATATATATATATATATATATATATATATATATATATATATATAATTGTAAAGTTAGGTTGAAAAGCATTAGAGATTATAGGTTTTAAAATGTCTCTAGAATGTGCAACAGAAAAATAGCAAGAATATAATTTATTTTGTGTTAAATATATTTAAATACCTTGGATGACTCCTTTACAATGGATATAATACAAATCAATATCAAATACAATATCAAAATCAATAATATCAAATACAATGGATCACAGGATCTAGAAAAGTAAAAAAGCTTTTTTTTCTGAGTTTACTTTTTATCAGTGTAAGATATATAATATATTATATATCTTATACAATCCAGTATAAAGTTGTTGTAAAATTAACTCGACTTGATAATTTATACCATGCGTGTTTAATTAATAACAGTTTCGGTTTATGTCGTCATTGTATAAATTTTTTCTTTTAAAATGTTGTATATATTTTTTTTTTTGCCACAATCACCAAATCATGTTAATTGTATAACCTTTTACTAAATCCCCAAAAAAAGTTTATGATGAAACTAAGAATTAAATTTATAAAAATAAAAGTATAATATATAACGAATATTTACAGTAAATGTACTGGTTTAAACTAAATTTACTAGATACTAAAAGAATAATTTTACTAAAGCTTTTAAGTTAATTTAAAGTATAAACTGAATAAAAAACGAGTGACTTCAATAAAACATATAAACTGAACTAAGTAAAAAATAAATATTAAACGACTTATTTTACTAATAACCATTCAAGTCAAACTAAATTAAAGTTAAAACAAATATTTGTACAAAAAATAGTTAAAATATAAATATAAAAACAAAGAATCGCATTAAATTGTTCGCTACCAGCTGAACAAAAATCTTTTTATAGCAACTGCATATTTTTTTGAATAATTTTTGAATAGCATAACATTGACAATTATTTAAAATTTGATAATAATAGTTTATAACACGCATCATTAAATAATA